AACCCCTTATTGAGAAGGAAGATAGAATTGTTTATTAATAGAAAATTAGTTTTAGTTCATGATAAAATGGAGGATAGTTTAGAAGGAAAAAATTGCCAATTTAGTTTAGTTAAAAATCTCTTTGAATTGAAACCATCTTGCTATGGTTTCACTAGCTAGCTTGGTGCAGCCCTCCGGTATGGGCAATAGCCTTAACCAGTGAGGCAGACCGCACTTGGGCGCCCATAGAGGAAGCCGAGTGATGTCAGATCTACAACTTAGATAGTTTAAATATATGTTATATATATGCTTTGATCTAATAAAGATACCGGTGAGGCTGCCAATATATAAAAAAAAAAAAAAAAAAATTCAATAATAAATCGATAAAGAAAGGTAGTTTCATAATAATAAGAAAAAATAATAACCTATTACAAAAACAATTCGATAATAAATTGATAAAGTAAGATAGTTTTATAATAATAAGAAAAAAATAATAACCTATTCGTATTTTAAACACAAGTAATCTTATCAAAATACCAAAATATATAAACTTAGTATATTTACTCCTCACCTCATTGCTCACGATACTTGTAATATTTGTACTAGGTTTGATGCTGTATGTTTTCCTTGAATTACATGTACTGCACCCTTTATTTTTATTTCCTTTTCCTTTTTCACAATTATTAACTTTCTTTACAGAACTAGAATTACCTACTTTTTCATCTTTATTTATTATCATTAATCATTTGTTTTACAGCATTTTCCTCTTCATCAAGTCTATTCAATACTTTGTAATAATCTTCAGACATGTTTTGATCTACTTGTGGTTCATCTCTGTACAACTAATATCTGCAAGTTCTAAATCACCAATTCCTAGAAGATCTCTAGCAATTTCACTTACCTTTCCTGTTCTAACACTCTTCAAAGATCTATGATTAGATGCTGAAGCACCTGATTGATTTAAATCACTTTTATTCAGATTGATCAGTTTGGTTAAATTCAAAGATTCTGAATTTTTCTTGATTTCTTCAATAATGTTATGATGTATAGCTAAAAGCTTAAGATAAATTAACTTAGAAGATAATGCTAATAACTGTGAATTATTGAGCTCAGGTAATTGCTTCTTAATCATATCAACATAATTAATATCTCTTGTATAAACATATAACTCACTTTGAATAATTTCTATTTCATCAACAACAAATAGTATTGATTTTTTTGATTGAAAAGAATTTTTAAAATGCTTAAATCGTGAATTGAAATATAGATAAGCAATATTGATTACAAAATTGTATTTTTGAATAGCATAATTGTTGACTAAAATTTTAACAGAATTTTCATCATTTTTGGCTTCTTGAGTTTTACTTTGCACAATACTGATTAGAGAAACCTTTAATGAACAATTATTTAAATTGCGTTCTTTATTAATATTAATATATATTGAACTTGTGACCATTATCTAAATATATCAATAAATAAATAACTATTACACAATTTAATATTAAGTTATAAATAGTACCTTCAGTCTTTTAACATCATGATAATGTTTCAGTACAATCTTTTTGCCAATAATATAATATTTATTCTTTTTAAATATTGTTTAACTATCAGTACCTCTTTCATCTGGATTAATAAGTACAAACATAATTAACTCAATATTATTATCTTTCTGTTTTACGGAATAAGTGCCAATGGCCCATACAACAATAGAATTAATGTTTTCTCTTATGGACTGTTGAACTTGATTAATCTTTACGACAATATTTCTATAACACAGCATATTTGTAACAATAATTTTTATGAAAAGCAATAAATTTTATATACTTTGTAGAAGTTTAACTTATTTATTTCTTTTTTTTAAAAATATTATTTTAAAATATAAACCAAAAAACTCTAATTGCTTGAATATTTATTTAGAAAGTTATATCGTTATTCGATAAACCTATTAACAAAATAACAAAGCAATTATTACTATGAAATCAAAAGGCTTCATTGTAAATTATTTGTTAAATAAATATCTAAATATATTATAAAATTATCTTCAAAATCTTGTCAAACACAAGTATTTTGGAAATAAATTTATGATCATATATGATTACTTTAATTTAATCAATTTTCTGAATGCTATATTAACTCAAAATAATATTTTTAAGATTCATGTTTATGTAATCAATTTCTGCTTACTATGTTCAATACGTTACAGCTTTAAGCTGATTTAATATGCAACTCAAATCTTTAATATGCAAATGATTTTCTTTATAAACTTCTTAAATTATCTTTGAAAAAAATATATATATAAAATATGAATATATATATATATATAATATACGCACATGTATGTGCATTAATTATATAGTAATTAAATTTAATTTTACTTATTAATAACAACAATATTAATAAGCTTTCAATATAAATTAGCACTATTATAACAAAATGTGAACCTTCTTTTAATCATTATAATTACAACTTATACTATTTACTATTATAACACAAATAATTTCACCAATGCTAATTATGATGATTTAATCAATAACTATTACAATCAACTCTTGGATTCTAAAAATATTTCTCAAAATATTATATTTTAAAGACCAAATAAAGACTTGATAACACTTAAAAATCATTTGCACAATGTAATTTTTTACAATTTTCTGGTGTTGCATGCCTTATTGTTCTATTTTAATGCTTACTTCAGAAATTTCATAGAAATTATTTAACAAAAATTTTGAATATCCATTAATTCTAAAATTTCAAAATCAAAACTTAAATTTCTATCCTAATTTAAATATACAGAAGATAGCTATATACAATTCATGCAAATGCAAGCAAACCAAACTATTATTACCAAATTTATTACTAATTCCTAATGAAATTGCAACAATTCTAATATACAAATGCTAATTTTTATCATCTGTACATTTATATTGCTCACTAAGAAGACACATTGGAAGCAATTCATACATAAATTATAGACATCTTAAAGACTCTTTTGGGTACTCACATAATATTGTGAATTATCTTTATATTTTAAAGAACTTGATGCATTTTTTTACAATGTGGATCCTACACCAAACTGATATCACCTGACACTTTGTAATGCAGTTAATTGGCTAAAATAAAATAATATATACTTACAACATTTTAAACCAAGTTGGTCAATTATAAGTAATACTAAAAATACAGTTTTTCTCTTAGCACACTAACAATATATTAATATCAATCATACTAAATATACATAAAACTTAAGAGATATTGTAGTTTCAAACTATAATTTTGATACTGAAACACATAACAAAGACTTTAACTACTAATGTATGATGGTAGGCTTTGTGCAACCATTAGATTCAAATTTGCATATTTCAATCTTAATTAAAGTGACTATCTCAAACCATTACTATTTCTAGACTTATTTCCTTATAGATCAAGCTTTTTTAATTGACAAAATAAAAAAATAACTTATAGAAATACATCAAACATAACTTACTATACCTAAATTCAAGATTTCATTTGCATTGGTTTTGGCCAGGTTGGTTATATATGCAACTAGAAAAATTACGTACCCATCATAATACACAAAGACTTGCTCATAAATGAGATTTTAACCATTTTACTAATAATAAATTATACATTGTTGGATCTCTTAATTATAATTTTTATTATATTGATTTATCAAACATATCATTAAATGAGAACACGTTCATTAATTTTTCCAAATGGGTCAAAATTAATGTGCCAGATGAAACAGATTTTTATTAGAATTATTAGCCATTTTTAGACAGTAAAGCCAATGATAAATTTTTCTATGTTTCGTCAGATAATACACCATCTATTCATTCATTTAACACTATATTGGGCACTTGAACAAGGAATCTTAGTTTTACAGGAACACATAGCCAATATTTTTTAAATTTCAAACCTTGGTTTCTAATAAGTCTAATAGAAAAGCTTATTCACTTCAATATATTTCAAATGTTGTAGATATTTTTGATACAATTAATTTGTTGTAGTCAAATAGCACCTCAATTCTACTAATATACTAATCCTATGTCAATACAACTTTAGATGGTCCTTCTCAAGTTTTATTGTCAAGTAATAAAATATTATATTTTTTTGAATATATAGATGGTAAAAGTAATCTTATAACATTAATGACCAGCATATTAGAATATGATATTATATTGGATTCATGGCAACTTATTGTAAATATTATAATTTTTAACTATGTTAAATAATAGTTCAGCAATTAATTTCTATATATAATTATATAGAATACTAGTGGTGCAATACCTAGTAAATGTAGTGAATTTACAGCTGTTTCAATTAAGTATTAATAAATTCAAAAAACCCTCAAATATACTATTATTTACTTATTAATTTTTAGCTTCAGATAGACGAGTTATTATATATGGTGGAAAAAGAGACATGCTAGCAGCTACTCCGTATTTAGTAGTTCTGAATACTTCTAATTATGAGTGGTCAGTACCATCAGAAATAAATCAAGTTGGACCATTAACTCAGCATTCATCAATTATTGTTAATAATTATATGCTTGTATTATGTAGTAATTATAATATTTTTTACATTTATATTTGATAAAAATAACAGCAGCATGTAGTTCAAAAATGTTTGGAATTATATATTTATAAATAATTTTTAATTGGAGTCTGTTTAGAATTGAATTAGAACCAGCGTTATAAGTCAATTCGCATTCTCAATATCTTCTGTTAGTGTGTCAATATATATTAAAGCTGCTGTTTTTTGAATAATTTCTGTTGTTCAAAACGATCTTTAAAATCTGCATAATTCTACATAATGTAGATACATTTTGAGCTACGTTCTAATGCAGTTTATTTATATTTGATAATCCAACAATTACTAATATTTATTTTTATTTTAAAGGCAAAAATATTACAAATAACAAAAGTAATGATTGTATTTATAAATTGGATATATTAGATCCATTAATATATAAATGGTCATTATTTTCCAACACCACTAATAATTTTGTTTTGCAAAAAACTAATTCAACAACGTTACCACCAAATTTACCAACATCTAACAGTTCTCAAGATAATTCTATCTCAAATAATGGTTTAATTTTCGGAATTGGTGTTGGAGTTGGAATAGGGATAATTGTAATTTTATCTTTTGCTGGGGTTTTGTTATATAAAAAGTTACACAAAAGGTTCAAAATAAACTATATTCCAACACCTGGTAGTATTTAAAATTTTTATTGATTGAATATTTTAAGTTATTTTTATTTAGTATTGTAATTAGTATTCAAAATATGATTTAAAATTTATTAGCTCATGCACCAAAGAAGTTGTAATAATTCAAGCGATTTTATATTCCAAGTTTAATATATAAATTTACAACCTAATTTCTCTATAATTACACTATCGGGATCTTAGTGACTTTTTTTTGAAAATATGTATGCTTATAAAGAATTTGCTTATAAAGAGTTGGTGCCTAAATAAAAGTTTTTAATATGCTTATGATAGTTTGTTTTAAAATGAACGTACTTAAAAAGAGAATTTTTATATGAAATGCTTATATAAGAAAAATCAATTAAATTGGTTTAGTCTTTATATTTTTTTGTTGAAATGATGAGCTTCAATTTTCTGATAAAAAAACCATGATTTAAAATTGATGAAACTACTACCTATCTCAATATAAGAAATTAATATCAATCATGGCTGGTTCACTAATTTGTTTATAGTCTCAAAACATTGTAGGTAATATCAGAACCTACATACTGAGAGTTTAAATATAATATATTTGAAAGGAGATAAATGATCAATGAGAATAATCTTATGTTCGAATTCGGCGAGTATAATACATGTATTCCTTCTAAATTTATGTCATTACTTCAAAACACTAATAGATCTGCATGATCGAATTGATCAAAACGTCAAAGAGCATTTTCTTACGGGCAGAAGTTTTTCTAATTTACCAATGTAAGTTTATGATATTAATGGTAAGTGGGTTCATGATTTTAATGAATTATTTAACATAGTTGGCAAACATTAATTTAAGTACTTGAAAATTATATGAATCCTCAACATTTATATTCTTAATATATTATTCTTAATATATAATACAAATACAATACCTGCATTTATTATTCATTACTCCTTCAAAGTTTTTTTCGAAGTATGCAGATGGTACATACCTTAGCAAACTTCAAGAGTTACTAAGACTTATGACTTCATAATTTATTATTAATACTTTCTGTCACCAATGCTTATTTCGTTTCAGTTTAAAAGTAAGTATGAATCTAATAATTAATAAATTTTGCTTAAATATTCTATTTTACTAATTTTTATTATTAAATTATTGAATAAGAGGGTGACAGTTCTCGCCACGCATCACACTAGTCCAATACCTTGCTCACGTGAAGTTTGAGACTTTAATTCAAAGACATCATTTTTATATTAATTATTGAACTTTAAATGCAAAAGACTTAAATGTAGTAACTTTTACTAAATACTATTATCATCAAAATTGGCTTTATGAAAATTTGTAGAACATTCGATCGCATGCGATTTTAACTGCTTATTTGAAAGAAATGCTTCTAAATCATAATGTTATAAATTTTTAGATAGGCTTAGCTATAAAAAAAACTTTTTTGCCTATTTTAAGTTCACTTTTCTTATCGCAAACAGTTTGTATATCAATATAAATAAACAAATAAAGTCAAACTCCCGTTATGCTATGTTAAATCAAGTATGTACATACGTATGCACGTACGTACCATTTAAAAACCGCGTGACATCGCTAGTTGAAAATGAGAGAATGCCATATGTCCATCCTTTTCAACCCCAATTCGATGTAGATAACAACATCCAACATTAGTATTTCTCATCTTTGCAGATTTTTGATAATAAATTAATGCCTAATGTTCTTCATTTTCGCACCAATTCCATGTTGATAGTTATATCCCATACTACTGTACTATTTAATTTAGACGATTTTCTTGATCCTTTTTTTTTCAAGACGTGTGAAAAGAAGATAAACTGAACAAGTATTTTTCATAAATATAGTATGTACAATATATTTTAAATTCACGTTATATTATTAACCTAATTTCTTTCATTTCTACATTTCCGAATTTGCAATTAACTACGTAAGTATGTAAACTAAGTGATAATGTTAGTTA